GTAATATTTGGGGTCACAAGTTTTTGCCATGGATACTTTGTGGGTCAGAAGATAAAAAGTTTGGGAACCACTGTGTTAGAGGACACACACCTGGTTTCTGACTCTTCTCTTTKATTAAAAACTAATTATTTTAACAATGTTTTTGTTGTCTAACAGAATSTTTGTTATTGTAAGCACAGTTTGGATCTCCAGGATTTAAATAAAATTACTTAACAGAACACAAATAAAATAAAAAAATCAGCTGCAAAGAAAAATAAAATAAAATTTCAGAACAGAACTTTCCACTCTGTCAACACCTAAAACCAGTTCTTATTTCAGCGCACCGACATGCTGGAACTAATCCAGCAGCAGAGGGTTAATTGGGGCCACTGGTTCCCTACAAACCTAATCCATCTATTTTCCACCCAGATAAGTAGAAAAGTGGATCTCTGGAAGCCGTTTGGATGATTAATTTACATTAAATCTCCATTGTGCTGTGATTAATATTCCAGAGGGATGTGGGCGCTGAAATATTAGCCTCAGTAATTATGGGCTGATGGTCCCGGTGCTTTCATCCAGGTGTGACTGTTCTGCTGTCAGATCTGCTTCATCTCAAACATCTCATATAATCCAGCTCCTTCAACACAAACTGATGACTGTCTGARACTGAGGGTCACAGCCAGGCTTTCACACCGCTTCTGTGACATTTTCTTCAAAAGGAGGTTTGTAATTAATTCTGAGGCGTCACTCGTACAGTAGGATCTCCAGCAGGGATTAAAATGACTGAATAGAGCCTGACAAATTAAAAAGTCACCCCTGGGGGGATTAATCTGAGTGACTGTGGGATTTATCCAGCACCTTTCCATCACTGCCAACCAGAGAGTCCAAAAGCCAACATTAATATCTGAACCAAGTTAGGATGTTGTTTATGATCCAAACAAAAGAAAATAAAACACTGAGTTGTTTCAGCTGATAGAGGACTCGTCTGACTGAAGACCTGTTAATAAACTGAACTGTTTGATTTGACAGATTTAATTTAAGGAAGCATGTTGTCAGCAGCAGCTGCTTCTTTTAATCTGCTCTTTGAAATCTAATCCTGCAGATCTGCTGAGGAGCCCCGAGGGAGCGGGGGGCCCGAGGACCACCAGAGACCCTAACCCAGCTGAAGACAGGCCCGAGTCGAGAGGAAGGAACCATTCATCACAACGACTGCTGCTTCTTGTTGTTGTTGTTGTTGTTGTTTACAGCCACAGGTTGGAAACATCAAAGAGGACTGTTGTTTACTGAGGTCTGGAAACATGTAAACACGCTGCCCTCGCCCCGAGTGGTTCTTCACACAGATTAGATTATCTGATGCTGTTTGACATGAAAGTCAGGTTCACCTCAGTTAATCCCATCTGAGAAAAACTGCTTCTGAAACCATCCAGGTTCTGACGGGTCCGGTTCTCATCTTTACCTTCATCTGAGTGTAAACAAACTGAAACTTACTTTATGTAAACAAACTGAAACTTACTTTATGTAAACAAACTGAAACTTACTTTATGTAAACAAACTGAAACTTACTTTATGTAAACAAACTGAAACTTACTTTATGTAAACAA